ATATTTTGCGTAGTTGGGTGTACACACATTTGGACATGCCAAAGGTATGGCTGCATTTACATATACATATATTTATATATTATCTGTATGTACACGGGGTATGATGACGATCCAACCGTTGAACCTTTGTTTTGGCAGTTGTACACACCGGTCACAATCGTGGAGGTGGGTCCCAAAGAAGCTCCTCTCCTCTTCAAACCAGAAGACTCGGCGTCAGCCAGTCCTCCTCGGCTGAGAGCTGCTGCAACACACAATAAGACCATCGTTAGGTGAGGGCTGACAGATGTGCGGGCTGACAGATGAAGACTGAAGGGTACAACTACTCTAAATCCTCGCTGTCCAGCAAGGTGAGCGGACGAGTCCCAACACAGGACGACGTAGGACAGCTTCCCACCGGATGCCTTTTGGTCCACGGGGTAACTGTATGTGGTCAATGAACCCACGAACGTTGGGCCCTTCACAACCATTCGGAGTTACCAGGCAGACCAGACAGTGACCAGGAGGCTGACGCAAGGCGTCCCGTTCCGGGGGTGTGGTGTGAGGACTTCCACGAGTTTTTGTGGAATATTTTCTAAGGGAGGTTTCTTATTCAATTTTCGAAAGCATCATCCAATTCCACGTAAAATTCCGGATTAAATTGGCCTAGGGGTCTGAACAAAAGCTTCTTTGAGAACATGCAAAATGCAAGTCTTTTTTGTCTTGTTATTTGTACTCCAAACCCTATCACATGTAGGCTTGTTTGATCGGGAATATTACGGTAAATCCGATGGATCGAGAATTTAATCAGAGGGCTCACTTAAAAAAAATATTCTACAAAAACTGAAGTACGCTCACGCGTCATCAACTAGTTTTCAGTGCTCCCAGGATGGGGCCTCACCTGGTAGCCGGCTTGCATTGCCGGAAAGGCCATGATGCCCGCTGGCTGCTGCAGCGCTGCGGCGCTGGCCTGGGCGGCTGCCATCTGCCCGGCGGCGGGCATGGCCGGCTGGGCGGGCAGCCCCTGCCAGGTGGTGGGCATCTGCAGGCTCGCCATGCCCATGTAGCCCGCCTGCTGGTAGCCGCCGTACTGGCCGAAGGGCGAGGCGGAGTAGCCCGTCTGCTGCATGAACTGGCTGGCCTGCATCTGCGCCGCGGCCGCGTTGGTGGCGGCTGCGGCGGCCGGGTACGACGCCGTCTGCGGGTACCAGTAGCCCATCTGCTGGCCGTAGGTGTAGGGGTACTGCGTGCTCGCCATAGCCTGCGGAACAAGGGAGATGGTCCTCATTGAAGCTTGTACGTGCAAGTGTCAGAATATCGCACACTTATAGGAGTGTGAATGCCCACTCGAACACTTAAGCGAGGAAAGGCGTGCATTTCACTTTGAAATGAGTTCACTTGGTCCTCCGTGTGTGCGAAAGGCGTCCACACACCTGCAAGTGTGTGCAATTCTCTTGGTTTCTGGTGCAGCTGGGCAGCCGTGTACCAAAACTAACCCCTGGAGTTTTCATTTCGGGGATGCGGCTCTCGCCCCCTTCTCTCCTATTCATGGTGGGAAACTGACTTAGCTGATGGCTTTGAATACCCTGCCGGCTGCCCGGACCTGGGCCAGCCTGGAGTGGATTAGGCAAATACATATTCACAGGACTTAAACTGCTAGAGCGAGAGAGAAGGGGCGGCGG